ACACACACACACACACACACACACACACACACACACACACACACACACACCATTTATACGTCATCACTTCAGGGGACATTACGTCATGCATTTCCTGGAGACTTATCCTAACCTTAACCATAACCAACACATGCCTAACCCTACCAAGTCTTCACCGTAAAATTAATGATTCCCCTTATGGGGACCTCCATTTTGTCCCCATAAGGGAGGCGAGTCCCGACACGTGACTGTGTAAACATATTTAGGTCCCCACAAGTATAGCAATCCTAGGCCACACACACACACACACACACACACACACACACACACACACACACACACACACACACACACACACACACACATAGTTCATAAACACACACCTCTGATCTCCTTGTGTTAGTGCTTCATCAAAAGGACTTGAGTGAAAGTGTCCACCTCTATCCCTCCGTCTCCCACAATAATCCAAATCCAGTGTTTATTATTGTCCCTCCCACATTTAACGACACTTTGTTCGAGTTGTGGAGACAGGCGAGGCATGTTTTATGATCTGGAGTTGTGGGAGACATTTCATAATTCATTTTAAGTCTAGTTTAAATGAGTTATCAGCATGATTTAAACTTATTTAAGGCGTGACTATCTTTAAATGAACTTTAATTGTTTGGGGCTTAACCCAATAAAGTTGGATGGCTAAATAAATAATATTATTATGCTTTTGGTTCAAAAGACATTTGAATAAGTTCAATATGAGCTCCATGATGAAAGGTTTTAACTATTCCACCGCACCAAGAAATATTTTCTGAAATTTTAAATATATCTACCTGTGTGTTTATCCGTCAGGGACTATTGCAGATACAAATAGAAAGTTGCAGAAGTGAAGGCAGCAAAAGTCAATTTCCAGTCCTTTCATGGTGCATTTAAAGTTAAATAATAATGAAAATACTGAACAAACACTAAGAAGGGCACGGGTGGTTCTGCATTTCCATCAACGAATGTCTGAATTTCAATCTTCGAATTTCTGCATGTCAATGACATCAGTGTTGTGTCTCTTCAACTGACTCTTCAAGCAATAGTGGAGCTAATCATTTGACCTTTACCTGTATATTGTATATTACAGTGCATTATTTGTACGGCTCTCCTGGACGAACGTTTCTGTTGTGCACATCTCTGTATTTGGTTGTGTTTTTGCATCTCACTGAGCTCTCATAGCCAGCATAGAAACTTCTGAGTGCCTCGTCCTGATGGGAAACTCTTTGGGAACTTGTTTGCTCTCCTCTCAGACAAACAAACAAGGTTAACAGTTTCCATTGTTGTATGTAAAGACTTCAAATCAACACCTTGTTTACTCGCCCTCAGTAAGTCAAACATGTTGAAGCAGAGTCGTGTGTGTTCAAGGATCCAGGAGATAACGATTCTCAAACTGCTGCCGAGAACAAAACTCACTTCACTGATCCCCAAAGGAGAACATTTGCTATTTGAAAATGTATTTTATGTTTTCCAATTCACTTTTTCTGAGGAACACAATCAACGTATTTTGCATATCTGTAGGAAGCACAAAAAAGGTGTGGCTTTTTTGAAGACTCGTGAGATTCTTGCTTTTCTGATGAAGAATCCTCATGGTTGATTTCAACTGATTTGAGTCGCTTTACACTGGACAAAAATAAGTGAAACAATAATGAAAACCAGCTGTTTTCACTTGAAATAAGTACAGAAATCTGCCAATAGAACAAGCGAACATTTGATGAGATAAGATTTCTTGAAATAAGAAAGGTTATTTAGATAAATCAGATCTTGTAATTAGCTGGGAGAACTAATTTGTAACTATATTTTTTACCAGAATCAGGAAATATTGTGTTAAAATATAAGCTGCAAATGCTCAAAGGTTTTCTGTTTTCTGGTGTTAGTTGGTGATTTTCTAATAAATATGTAAAGAAATATGTGTTTCATCTGAGATACAACTCAAAATACGTTTCTTTGACTGAACAAGATGACGCATTGTCTAAAAACAAGACCCGATATCTCACTGCAGTGGTACTTCTGAAGTTATTATGTCAGGTGTGAAGATATATTCTGACTAGATACTTCGAGTTTTTGTAGTTTAGATAAAAGCTTCTGCTAAAATAAATGTGACGTCTTACCCCGGGACGACGTGGAGGGCATCAGTTTCTCCTCTCAGCACCCGAGAGTTTCCCAGCAGGAGGTTGATTAAAACAAACTGTAGAACATGTAGATGAAGGAGAAACAACTGGAGCCTTGAAGTCTCTCAAACCAAAACAACTAATGACGAATGTCCAGAATAATCTGAATACATTATAATATGGGTTATATATCTGTTTCTTAGATGGAAAGAGAGATATTTAGTTTAAAAGATGGTTATACACTGGAAAAATGTGCCTAGAAACCCATTATTCTAGGTAAACATATTTTACGTGATTTGTTTAATCCACGCAAAAATATTCATAAATCTTACACAAAAGTACAATTATGAGTTAGTGAACTTTAGAGATGCTGGCTTGTTTCC